CAATTTTGATGCATTTTCGGCCTTAAAATGGCCGCTATTCGGCTATCGTTAATCGGATCATGAAAAAAATGCATGTGCATATGTCCCATATAATGTGTGATGTATGAGTGAAGTTTGAACATAATCGGTCCATGCATGTTCGAGATACAGGTGATCACGGACGGACGGACGCACGGACGGACGCACGGACGCACACAGGGCAACACATAAGTCCCCGTTTTCGGACTCCGTCCGAACGGGGACTAAAAAGTAATTTTCAGTGATGGTTCATATCCAATAAAGACATTGGAGTCGTTCAGTACAGACTTTCACTTTGAGGCTTGTCAGCCGCTTGTCACACACAATGTAATGTCGATAATGTTCACAAAAAGTTGCTCCAAATGTCAATAAATTTGCGATGAATCTCGAATAACGGTGTTTGCATAGTAGAAAAAATGTGGCCGTAAGTTACTAAAATCAGCGTGTGAAGTTGCGCAGATTGGATAGTTAGTGGTGTTGCTTGAACAGTTGGTCGATTTTCATAAAAAAGATGAAAGACGTAGTAAAACTCAATAGAAAACTCGCTAAAGTTTATTATTGTCGACTTTCGTCACAGGATTTAGTGGAAATTATAAGTTGTTAAAAGCCGCATGAAAAACAATTGAACGATTTGATTGAGTAGGCGAAAGGTCAACAAATGATTCGAAAAATCGCTAAAGTTTATTTTTACTACTAACTGGCCGTAATTGTAATGTTGTTGAAAGAAGCGTGCAAAATTCAAAACGATTTGATTCGAAATTGGTTGCGTTGTGGAAATTTGAACGAGGTCCGTAAAAAGTCAAAACACGTGGTTAAACGCCGTCGAAAAAATGAGTAGAAAACGCGCTAAAATGTTCTATTTTCGGGCCATTGATGACGAGGTGGGTTTAGGTCATAAGTCACTTACATATATTTTAATGCCTGCGAATGTCAAATTCTGTTGAGGTTCGTTACGCACATAAGCCAGATATACGTAAATTTCGAATAAGTTCAACGTAATGTAGATAATATTTTGTCTGGCGCACAGTAAATGTAAACTGTAAAGTCGCAAATGTTCACGAAAAGTTGCAAGAAACTTGGATAGTCGGGAAAGTTGGCCGTTTGTTATTAAAAGCGACATGTAAAGTTCAAAAACGTTGATCAATTTGTTTGGAAAGTTGTTGTTTTGAAAATTGAGCGCGTTCATAAAAGTCAAAAGAAGTAGTGAACAAATTGATTAGAAATTCCGTTATACGAGTTGGACGTAATTAAAGCAGTTTGGTAAGTTGCATAAAATTTGAATGAGGTTCATAAAAATTAAAAACACGGGCTTGAACGGGCCATTGATGACGAAGTGAGTATAGGTCATAAGTCATTTAAAGTTGGGACAAGAGCGGGGTTTCATTTCTATCTGGACGTCTACATTCTGTCTATACTAGTATTTTGAACAACAGCTATTTACAGCGATGTATTTAGTCAATTCGATCTCCCGTGTCAGAAGCCCACACTCTTACGAGCATTTGGTTTTATCAAGTACAAATGAATTACAAGATTGTTTCTATACTAAAAATAGATAGATTAGATTAAAGGGCGGTAGTCGTCGCGCCACGCACGCGCGATATATGTTGGTCTCATATAAACAAAGATGGCTATTTTGACATGCGCAGATCAACGAGTACAAACTGAGACGTTACCAAGTTTTAATTAGGTATTTTTTAGGTGTTTGGAAGGTATCGAAGGAGTGACCGGTGGTAATTAGCGCAAGTCGCGCCCAGGTCAAACCTCATACTTATGATTTTAATTGGAATGGCGCATTGGATTGTGGGAAAACAAATGTTTATCAACACAAATGTCGCGCATGCACAGCGCGACGACTGCCACCCTTTAATTTTACTTCTGTCGTCCATAATTTGTAATGCTAGAAAAATATATGTAATCGACCGGGGAATCTAGTTTGGAAAACAATTCATTAATCACTATAAGCATGATAATAACAGACATATATGGAGTACAATTTCTAAAAAAAAAAAGTTCGATCTTTGCCTCGATAAATGGAAATATCCCTTCAAAGAATATACCAAAACGAATGCTAACCAAGTTAAGCATATCGAAAGCAGCATTGGCCGCTTCAAGGCGCAACCGACGTTAGTATGTCTCCATGACATTACTCTCGGCACAACAAAGGCATTCCTTGATCTTTATAAATATTTGTAAATTTAAATGGAGTTGAATCAAACCGGCCAATCAACAAGCACACTACGCAACGATGCCAATTAAAAACGTTCCAATTCTATTCAATCGGCCAATAGAAACCTACCGTTACTTTGTTGCGCCGATAGTACTTTTTTCATTTCTGTACTTCGATATACTTAAACTTTTATAAGGAATCTAGATTTCGGTATTTCACAAGTAAACTGTTGACAATACTATTGAATCTTTCTGATTACGATGACCAAACACCACCACCAACGGCCAATACATGTATAAATGTCTTCTAGATCTGTAACGACTAAGCATGCTCCGGAAAGAAAACTATGCAACACGCATGCACAAAATTGTCGTGCTACCATGGTAAAAGTTGTTGTCAGGGCAAGAAATTCAATGACCTAGACAAGTGAAAAATCATTGGTTTAACAACGTAGAGTGGATGTTAAAGCGGGGTCGTCGCCTGCGCATGCGTCAGATGGCCATAGCGTGTAATTGTTTACAAACAAGCGTCTACCCATGAGCCTTTGCGTTTTTAGCATGTGTTGTCATCGTTCCTTGGGACTCAATTCCCGCGCGTGCGCAGGAGACGACCCCTACGCTTTAATTGCTATTAGCAGTAACCACAATCCCTCCATGTTGAGGGACTGTGTAGTAACACAGAACTTAAAAAGATGATCAAATGAAGAATGCTGGGCATCGTGTTCTTAGAGAATACAAAATGGGAGTTAACCAACTCTGTTCGATTACAGATTTCGAGTATGATATCGATGTTGCAGGTATGCGATTAGTTAAAGCAGGAGGGTTGTCACCTGCGCACGCGCGGGAATTGAGTCTCAAGCGATGATAACAACACACGCTAAAAACGCAAAGGCTCATGGGTAGACGCTTGTTTGTAAACAATGACACGCCATGGCTTCCTGACGCATGCGCAGGTGACGACTCCCCCGCTTTAAATTGTTGTTGTATACATGTTGTTGCATATAAGTGCACTAAGTCGAGTTTGAGGACACCATTCACGCCCCTCACAATCTGCGTGTATCGCAAAAACTTCTCAATAGCGCATCTTCCGATATATATATAAAGTGTTGAAAACAGTCTCGATGCAGCCCGAAGTTATAGCGTCACACCTGCCAGAAATTATTGTTAGGGTGACAAAACAAACAAACGAACCTTTTTCGTATTTCTAACGATTTAAAGCGCGGTAGTCGACGTGTTCGAATTTCATGTAAATAAGCAATGTATTTTAGTACTATGTTCTATGGAGTGGTAGAAGGTAACACCATGCAGCAATCTAGCCCGATCATGCCACCCAAATGACCATGGTTCAGAAGACGTTGAATCGTATGACGTAACTAATAAAAATTATAAGCTTTCAGATGATATATAGGTTGTTAAAGTAGCATGCTTAGTAACGTTTAGACAATGTCTGAATTACATATCAGTTTTTAATGTCCTTAATACATTGCAAATATAATATATTAGTTAATATATTATATTTTACCAATACACAATAATTATTAAATCTTTTACTGACCGGTGTATCTAATAAATTATTATTCCTAATAGTCAAAACTGTCCCCTTTATTCAAATGTAGGCTTGCTCCATGTGAGTAGGATTGAAAGTCGCGTTTACCGCCGCCACATTCCTCAAACCATCTTTCCTCTGTAATCCTTGCGTCGGATGTTAATTCTAAAAACATTTCTAGAGGGCAGTGTGTTTTACATCCTGGTATTGTAAGCACGAAGGGGTCCACCGATGAATCGTTGCGGTAGTATATATCGACCGTGTAACTTCTAAAACAAGATAATTACAAATACACGCAGACAAATAAACAATATACAAATAGTTAAAGCGCGGTGGTCTTCGCGCAGCGCGTGTTCGAATTTCATGTAAATAAACAATGTAAAATTTTACGTGCGTTGTATAGGTCGCTATGAGTCCCATATCGAACAGGACGCGGCGCGACGACCATCACCCTTTAAATCACGATGGTCACCACGTGAACAGACCTGATATCATCTTACATTCGGGCTTAGAACAACTCAAAAATAAAGATTCTAAATAACAAATTGAACTATAATGAGACACTGGCATACATATCAAAATCGTAAAATTCTATATCTGATTTTCTAGTTTGTTTGTAAAGCGAAAAAAAAAAAACATTTTTAATTAGAACGATAAAATGAAGGTAAGCTGAGGATATCTTCGATTGATAGAGTCTTGGTGATAGAACATCAACAAATCGGGTTTTGATTTGAGAGAATTTCCGGCTCGTTCAACCATTTCCACTACACATGGCCATATTGCATTTCAAATCAAGTACAAGTCTGCACTGGTTATAACACATATTTGAATGAGTGAATATTTTAGCAACAAGACTATCTACGAACAAGACGGCAGTCTCCTTTACCCGTTATGACAACAGAATGACTTGTCACCGAAAAGAGCAAATGGCCGCCGAGGTCTCGTTTCTATCGCGAGAACCACGAGATTTATTATTAGAATATTTCATTCTTACCTTTTACGGTGCGATTTCTTATATAATTCAATCATAACACAGGAAGCTGGAGGCGGTACTAAGTTATTGAACACACCTATAGCATTAAGGAGACGGGATATCACCGAGTCTGCCTGAAAAATTGAATGTTAGCAAACCGCTAAACAACTAAATTGACACGCCCCTATAGTCAAGTTCAGCTCAAAATAACCATAAGATATAATTAAATATTAATGTCGACGTCCTCTCCTTGATATAATTTTTTGTGGGATTTATATACGACGAAGATAAGAAAAATATTTTGTTCGTGAATGTGGTGCACTGAACGTATTTTGGGGGCGAGACAGTATTTAAGGGTGGAAACAAGAAAATGGAGTCTTAAGAGGCTCCTTTTGAACTGACATGTGCGCTGACCGGAAACAAATGTTAGGCCCAATCGGCTGTATATACCATGCGTAACGTGAAATTAATGATTGACGTTGTAAAAGAAGTGCTAACATGTGGTAGATATCTGGGCGATTGTCGATGAACACTAGAAGTACCATTATTTGTCAGAATCTGGGCAACTTAACCTAACCTAGCACGTAAAACAACATCACCGACATAACAGACTTTCGTAAATATCTGTATCCGAACTCATTTTTATAAAGTGAATGCATGCCTTAAGTGTATTCACTGGGTTTTTACCGGCAATACTATTTCCGATAAATACAATCAAAGACACTAGAAAATACATATATTTTTTAGTGTCCTTGGTTAATTCGCTAAATTAAATCGAACGCATTGTCTTAGAGGTAAATCTGTGAATTTAATAACCCAGAGAATATCATCAAAGTAATGAAATAAAATCTTATTGAAAATTGTTGCCTTTATACTATTTCTTCAGTTTTTTCCAACGTATAACAATTATGTAAATAGAAGTGTTAGAGGGCGCACTTACTCCTACATACGTATACATTTTGTACGTTTTATTCTCGGGTGAGTAGGCTTTAGCAATCATGTTCTCAGCAATCTCGTTTAGTAAAACGCCTGCAATTAAAACGTTTCAATATTATTGTGAATATTATAGATAAAACATTTCCCAAATGACATAGATCGTACCCAACGTGACAGATTTATGTACTAGTATATTATTTTATCCATATTTCATTTTATATCAACGAAAAGCATAATCCAATCAATGTATATGTGTGTTATATGGGCATACGTTGATATTTATTGTACAGATGCAATAGTTCTGGTATTTACAATCAAAATTATTGCTGTACATAAAATAGAAAATTAAAGTGGGGAATGGTCACCTGCGCATGCGTCAGATGACCATAGCGTGTCATTGTTTGCAAACAAGCGTCTACTCGTGAGCCTTTGCGTTTTTTTAGCGTGTGTTGTTATCATCGCTTGGGACTCAATTCCCGCGCGTGCGCAGATGACGACCCTCCCGCTTTAAACACAACACCTTCTTATCAAACATTATATAAACAATTATTTAACAATAACAACTGATTTACTTGGGAATTATAGCAATTTTCATAATTTCTTGTCAGATAAGTTTATGTTCAAATGCGGTTTTAAATAGATAGGGTTTTTATAAAATTGCATCCAAAATAATCGCATATGAATATTACGAACGTACTTTTTGGCGTTTGACGGATGATGTCGGAATTGCGTACATGTGCTTCAAGTGGGTTAATATTATGTGTCACGGGCCTTTTTTTTTTCTTTTCTTTTTAAATATGTGTATAATAATTTATTTTTATCATACATCTTTTTTTTACTTTATTTTATTATTTAGTTTTGGTCATCGCGAAAGCCCACAAGGTGGCGATAGTTAAAGTAATACAAAATAAGATGTACATAATAATAAAAATAGAAAATAATATAAATATATAGTAAAAATAAAATATATAAAATTAAATTAAATTCACGCCGTACAATACATCAGATTTCAATCAGATTGCGGTGGAACATGCTGTAGATTTCATATGCTAGTACAAAGTCCCGTCGCTGAGGGGCTGGGGCTAGTATCACGGGTAAATTCTTCTCTCTCGGGGTCTCTACACGTGTCAGGGGGGAATCTCGTCTCGTCTCTCTATCTCGTCCCCTTGAGGTACGGGATCGGGAAAGTCACTTTAACTTTACAGTCAAATAAGACACACACAACGAAATACGTTTCAGCTCTCGTCTTAGTCGATCTGTGGAGTACTCTATAAGACACAGCGCCCTGGGGAAAGTCCCCAAGACTCTCACAAGGCTGAACCAAGACTCGCCCAAGACTGGACTGCCTCAAGGCTCGCCCCTGGACTCTCTCGGACTGCCCAGGACTGCACTCTCTCTTCTGCGTCTATCGTGCTGTGCTCCCCAATACCAACTCAAACTCTCTTTATTCATTTTCAAAACTCTAACCAATTACAAAGCAGTAAAAAGACTCTAGGGCGTAACCTTCAATCATAAAGCCAATCACACTAAGTACTGAATACGTCATATCTTTTGATTAATCGTTCACTACATTAATAACTATGGATATAAACTGTCAGAATGAGTAGTCTAAAAAGCGGCGGTTATCTGGTAATTAGTTCCAAATCACTGAGCCAAGTTCCGTCCAAAACTTCAAATAGGCCTGAACGATGACAGACATAACACAGCAATTCAGCTAATAATCAGCTAATTAAGTCGACCAACAGATACGCGAAAACAAATTCATGACACTAGAATGAGTAGTGTGAATTATACTTCATACCTTTACCGAGTCGTTTCATTTCGACGCTATCAGGCCCATCCCTCACTTCCATTTCAAAATTATGTAAATCCGTTAGCTTATCGAAAATAGTGCTATTTATCCACTCTGGAAGTTGTTTGTTTCCAACTTTCTACGAACACAAATAAATTAGTAGTTAGGTGGTTACGTTTGAATTGGGTACGAATGCTCAAACGTAAAGGATGCATACAAATCCAGACTATGAAATGGTTGTAAAATCATTTATCTATATTTGTTTCAAGCGACAGTTTCTAATACTGAATCACACAATATATTCATATTTCAGTCTTGAATTCGTTGGTATATTGAAAACTGCAAATCCTATTGCTGCATATAAATCGAGTGCATTTCGTCATCATGTGGTCATCATTCCATGATTAACAATTCCAATTTAACCTCAGCCTGATCCCCGTCGAACACAAGCACATGCAGACATTTAAATAGGTCTAAATACACAGGGAAAAACAGAAATACACCGAATACACGATATTATAAATACTATGTTAATCTAAGTAGTGACGCGTACAGAAACATGTACGACACACACATCAAAAGGACCTCTTACCTGATCTTGCTAGAAAGGTTTAAATTATTACCGCTATTTTCCGGATTATTTCACTGATTATTTTGTGTCAGAAATAACGTTTCCAAACGAATCAAATAATTGAGCTAACTGAGATGCATTTTTTTCTTCTATTCTATATCATCTTCTTCCGTTTCGTAGCAATATCGAAAATACCCGGATGTTTGATCATTAGTGATCATGTTTATTTCTTACCTCGAAGTAAGTGGAAGAAGCAACTGTAACTAGGTCGAATAGGGATGTAGTATCCTCTAAGCCAGATTTATTTCTGACAAAGTCTAGAAAATCCTTTTAATAAAAGAAAACTATTTGTCATCAGTGATATCGAATGCATTCTTTCCACAGTGATATAATATTTATAAGTATAAATAATATTATTTTGCGCTTTAAAGTGGAAAAGTCATGACAGTGGTGTTAGTATACATGGAATTCAGGCTATTCCCGCTAAATTAAAGGGCGGCAGTCGTCGCGCCACGCATGCGCGAGATAAATGGTATACTCATATAAACAAAGATGGCGACTTTGACTATTGCGCAGTTCAACGAGTACAAACTGAGATATTACCAAGCTTTGATTAGGTAATTTTGTTACCGATTGAAAGGTATAGAAGGAGTCGCCGGCGGTAATTAGTGCAAGTCGTGCCCAGGTCAAACTTCATACTTGTGATTTTTCATTAGAAGAGCATATTGGATTGTGGGAAAATCAATGTCTATCAACACAAATGTCGCACATGCGCAGGGCGACGACCACCGCCCTTTAAATGTACGTGTACAATGTACATGAAAGTCATGTGCATGGCAGTACAACCATGGTTTCATCTTTACTTATGGAGAGAGATAATCTCTTTGCCTGGAAAGAATAAATAATGTTTACATACATCGAAAATAATTAATGAATAATTAATGTTTTGTTTGGCGCTTAAAATTCCAACTTTTAAATATGTAAAACACTACTACCAGAACAAGGTAAAAATCCAAAATTTGTAAAAAAAAAAAAAAAAAAAAAAACTTTTTTGCTAAAATACAAATAAATATATTAGGTATTGATATCATGCCAGATCATCATGCCATTTTCTTCCCCTAGAAAAACGTTCATGCACTGAGAACAAAGCCTCCAACACAGTGCGTGTATATTGTTTACAAATCTAGGTTAATTTATTTATATTCTAAAGTTAAATTTTCATTCCCTTTTCCATTTCTCGAGGAATGGTACATCACAGATTTGCAAAGTGAGAATACAATTTTACTATTTGAGATGGCATATTACCATCTTATTTCATTCAATTATTGACAGTTATATTTATATAGGAAGAATCAAGGGACTGAGAGAGGTCCCAGGGAGGGTGTTCTGAAGCTCATCATAAGTTCCTCATTGAAAACAACAACAACAACAACAACAAAAACAAAAACATGCGTTAAAGGGAGGCAGTCGTCGTGCCGCGTCCTGTTCGATGTGAGACTCATAGCGACGTATACAACGCGTGTAAAATACATTGTTTGTTTATATGAAATTCGAACACGCGCTGCGCGACGACCGCCGCACTTTAAATTGACAACTTCAGAGATTAAAAATAGACTCCACCCTTTCAATAACACACTCAAAAACGTTTATTAGCTATTCGCACCGTCAATGACTTGGCCGGTGCATATACATGCACAAATAGTTTTTCAATATGACACTCAGTTTCTGGGTACAGTCATCGACACCGTGATACAGGGTTGACCGCCCCTTTAAAGCCCATGTTGCCTGCTAATGCCATGAATACCTGCCTTGTTTGTTTGTTCGTACTGCCTAACAACATCACTCTTCTTTACTTCGTTTAACAGTGCAGCATACTTTGGACATGGAGGAAATCCTATAAGCTGCAAGGAAAAAACACAATGAAAGCAAAAGGTAAAAGTGAAGTCATGACATGAACAGGGTGAGTTACACTAAGGCTTAAAGACAACATAAGTATGCTGTGCTATTTTAAGTGATATCAGAACCAACATATGTTATATCCAGTGATATCAGAACCAACATATGCTATATCCAGTGATATCAGAATCAACATTTGTTATATCTAGTGATATCAGAACCAACATATGTTATATCCCGTGATATCAGAACCAACATATGTTTTATCCAGTGATATCAGAATCAACATATGTTATATCCAGTGATATCAGAACCAACATATGTTATATCCAGTGATATCAGAATCAACATATGTTAAATCCAGTGATATCAGAACCAACATATGTTATATCCAGTGATATCAGAATCAACATATGTTATATCAAGTGATATCAGAATCAACATATGTTATATCCCGTGATATCAGAACCAACATATGTTATATCCAGTGATATCAGAATCAACATATGTTATATCCAGTGATATCAGAACCAACATATGTTATACCCAGTGATATCAGAATCAACATATGTTAAATCCAGTGATATCAGAACCAACATATGTTATATCCAGTGATATCAGAACCAACATATGTTATATCCAGTGATATCAGAATCAACATATGTTATATCAAGTGATATCTAAACCAACATGTTATATCAAGTGATATCTAAACCAACATATGTTATATCCAGTGATATCAAAATCAACATATGTTAAATCCAGTGATATCAGAACCAACATATGTTATATCCAGTGATATCAGAACCAACATATGTTATATCCAGTGATATTAGAACCAACATATGTTATATCAAGTGATATCAGAACCAACATATGTTATATCCAGTGATATCAGAACCAACATATGTTATATCCAGTGATATCAGAATCAACATATGTTATATCAAGTGATATCAGAATCAACATATGTTATATCCCGTGATATCAGAACCAACATATGTTATATCCAGTGATATCAGAATCAACATATGTTATATCCAGTGATATCAGAACCAACATATGTTATACCCAGTGATATCAGAATCAACATATGTTAAATCCAGTGATATCAGAACCAACATATGTTATATCCAGTGATATCAGAACCAACATATGTTATATCCAGTGATATCAGAATCAACATGTTATATCAAGTGATATCTAAACCAACATATGTTATATCCAGTGATATCAAAATCAACATATGTTAAATCCAGTGATATCAGAACCAACATATGTTATATCCAGTGATATCAAAATCAACATATGTTAAATCCAGTGATATCAGAATCAACATATGTTATATCAAGTGATATCAGAATCAACATATGTTATATCAAGTGATATCAGAACCAACATATGTTAAATCCAGTGATATCAGAACCAACATATGTTATATCCAGTGATATCAGAACCAACATATGTTATATCCAGTGATATCAGAACCAACATATGTTATATCAAGTGATATCAGAATCAACATATGTTGTATCCAGTGATATCAGAATCAACATATGTTATATCCAGTGATATCAGAATCAACATATGTTATATCAAGTGATATCAGAATCAACATATGTTATATCCAGTAATATCAGAATCAACATATGTTATATCAAGTGATATCTAAACCAACATATGTTATATCCAGTGATATCAGAACTAACCAAAATAAAATCAAATAAATTTGAAATGACTAACTTACAGAATCCGTCGTTACCATTGTTGTGTGTATTGGTATTGGTTGCCATGTCAACATATTATTCGGAAACCATATTTCGTTTTCCTTTGGAGGAAAGAGGCCAGCCAGGTTGCACTGTGCTGACATCAGTGTTCTGTCTATATCGCTACTACGCGCATAGATCTCCTTTGGGTTGTATGTTGTATTTATAAGAATATCACCGTATCTCTTACGTAACCATTCACCAAGGTGATATTGCTGCAATTTGCCAATCTAAATGAAAAGTATATTCAAATATTTGTGGTACATCATTTAGTATTATTACATCTAGACTTGCATACAGTCCCTTGTTTATTTGT